AATCCTTAGACTAGTTATTCTTTTGGTTTCAAGAACTTCTTGCTTGGTAGAAATTTGGCTTTGAGATACACTTGGTGGTCTTACTAGTTTACATTTTCTTAATGATAACATATGATCAATATTTTTGAATCCTCTATCAGCCATAACATCAGAATTTTCTGGAACCAAGTCTAAGAATCCACATTTCTCTATCAGTAATACATCACTACATCTACCTCCATACCCTTCTGATATAAAGTTTATAAATCCATCAGGCGTACAAGATATTAGGTATTTAAGAGTATTACATTTTTTATAATCTGACCAAGTTAATAACTATTGAACTGGGTCAGAGGGTTTTGGAATTTCAATTTCAAGACAATCAATGATGGCTTGAACGTTTGAATATCTATAGCGAAATGGGATAGGAAGTAATTTAATGATTGCGTCTTTGTTTTGCCAGTAAATAAATTCTTTAAAATAACCAACAATTAGATTAATAGTTTTACAAAAAATACGACAACTATAACTTTCTGAAACACCAAATAGAAATCYACTAAAAGAGTCATTCAATCGAATTTTAGTTAAATTTAAAAGTATATCTCTTTCAAAAATTTTAGAATTTGAACTTAGTAAAGTAATAAAACCATGTTTAAACCATTCATGGGTTAGACCTATATAATGTTTAGGGTTATTTTKAATATGGTAACACATTACTTCATATCTAAGTTTTTTATATTTATTTGACTCATTTTTAATAAAAAATTCTTCAATATAAYATTGAGAACTTGAATAAGATACATTTGATAGACTTTCACAATTTGAAAGAGAAGAATTTAAAGTTGATTCTAATTCACTATTTTCATCAAACTCTTTATGTTTAACTGAGCCAAACTTAGCAGAAGAAATAATTTTAGTCAATGCTAATTCTAAATCACATTGGGAAGATTTTTACCGGGTGGAAGGTTTTGGTTTATTTTTTTTACATATATTTTTTAATTATATTGACTTGGACTCCAACTTCTTTTGATAGTGGTTCTGGTGGAGCCAAATCATYAATGAAATCATTTACTTCATTTGAGTTTCTGATACAAATAAAATACATTTTATATATAACTTCAAGTAAGCATAAAATATAAATATATAGAATTATTGTACATAATCTTGTATTCTTATATAGTTAATGATGTATATACACAATGTTAAGAAATAAGTTAAAATAATACAGAGTAATGTTTATCATGCACCAGTTATGCTTACTTAATACTTTTTTTTAAACTAGGCAGAATGTGCTTTAAAATACTTAGACAAATTTAGGTTGCTTTATATTAAWATTGATAATAGAAAACTAGAAACTATTAGATAGTTCACAGTGAAAAAAAATAATCATGTATCTCATTGTATATACAATATACATATWAAGTACAACTGAAGGGATGAGTGGATAAAGGTGTTAAGTGACATTTTTAAAACTTTTCAGGAACCATCATTTTAGCATTTATATTTTAAATGTWTGGAACTTTCATAATTTTTAAGCTAAGCACACATGATTGGGATTGTTGTATACCTCAGATACTGGTTTAATATATTTATCAATATTCAGTTTATTGGTTTACCCATACTAGACTTACCTTAAAGTTAAGTCACAAAATAAGTACTTAACACCTTTATCCATAAAGTAACTATACAAAAAATTATTTCTAATTGGGTGTTATCGA